TTTTATTCAGAAACTACAGTTGTTATCTGTAGGACTTGGTCTCATAGATGGTAACTGGCACTTCTTGGAAGCAGAACTCTAGATTTTTTTTTTTTTTTTTTGAGACGCTCTAGTGTTTGTTTGCTATGAAGTACATAATTTTTTCAGTTGGTGGTCTTGCATAGCACCTGAGGCTGGCCTATAACTTCCTGCCTGTGCCCCAAGCGCTGGGATTACAGGTGTGTACCACTATGCCCTGCTCTGTCTCTCAGTGCAGAGGGTACCTGGTCTCTTCAACTTGACTGATTTCTTTATTCAGGTAAGAGGCCATCTGTGGTGACCTGCAGCTGACCTTAGCACTGAGCAGTGTCCAGTGGAACTCTGGAGAAGCGCCTGGGGGGAAGAAGACCTTGAAGAAATTAAGGCAAAAGTGCAGAAAGCTGAGGTGAAATGGAGTTCTCTCTTAGTTAGAGAAAAGAGCCGCTCAGGGATTGCAGCATGTTTGTACATGCAGCAGGTTGATGTCAAGTGAAACCTGCTGCCTAACAAGTCATTTACCTAGCTTGCTTCAGGTGCCTTGTGTTCTAGGGGCTGGAGCAGTGTATTTGTCTGGCTCACATTCGGCATCCCATGATCTTGGGGCTGGGCTTACTCTTGCCCAGCACATGTGATTGATCTTCAGCTTCAGCTGCTCGCCACAGACAGAAGCAGTGTTTTGTGAGATCTGCAGAATAATCACAGCTCCCCAGCTTTAGGAGACAAAAGCTTGCATAAAACAAAGCAAGTGACTGCTGCTGAAAAGTTCTATGTTAATCAACTAAGTTGCTTTAAAGTTTGAAAGGTTTATAAGGGAAAGCAAGTTGTTTGCATTTTGTCAGTTGACCAACATTTTATCAGATACAAACTGTGAAAGAAGCAAATGATCTGGTATTCTTTCTTCCCCTACACAGAAACAAACAAAACAAAATGACTCAAACTCTCAATCACTGCACAGTGTATAACTACAGTAGACCCATCAGAGGCTGAAAACTCACAGCTAGAACTGTAATATTAAGAACCCTATGTATGGGTCAGGGATTTAGCTCAGTGGGAAATGCAAGTTCATGAGTTCTATCCCTGGTACCAAAAAAAGGAAAAAAACAAAAAAACCCAAAAAACAAAAGGACCCTCTGTTTCTCTTTGTTACTAGAGAAGGTTTTGAACTATAGGATGTGAACATGATGAGGAAGGCACACCGCTTGTTCTGAGTGTGAAGCAGGCCCTTCGTGTTACTTTGCTATAAGTGCCATTTGCCACCGGTGATTGTTCTCTTCCTTTGGGAGAGTAGGAGGGTAGTGTATTTCAGCTTTCTTCTTTCTGACCTTCTTTGTCAGTTTTTCTGTGAACATCTTACTGGTCAGTGAGGGGATGTGAAGGTCTGGGCACTGGTGGAAACACTGTGATTGGTCCCACATACATGGTTCAGGAACTGTAGTTACCCCAGATTCTGTGTTTTATGCATGTGCTGTGGGTGTAATGATTTTGACACGTTATAAACACTTGCTTGACTGGATTTGCCTTCCTTGTGGAGAGTGGGGGTTGAGATGTGGCATCCAGACAGGTTAATATAAGGACAGGAGAACTAACCTGACTCTAGATGATGGGAAAACACTAAGATTTGAAAATGAGCACCATTTACCTTACTGAGTTAGGCAAGATAGGCAAGCGGGTTAGTTGAGACAGTGAGTTTTTTAGTTGGTGGTTTTTCCATATCACGTTCTGAGGATGAGGCAAGATATTTACAGGGGATGAGTAAAGAAGGAATGAAATAATCCCATCACAGAGCAGATGAGAAGGCACTCCTGAATTTGTGTTCCTCCTTCCTTGCCACTAACACTTTGGGATTCCTTCCATGGGCTTTTAGGATCCAGGGAAGTTCTTTGTAGGTTCTTGGGTGTCCTGAACAATGTATTAAGCAAGACACTTAAAAGGTGGTAGGGATGTGCACTTACTGGAGGTGAAAAAGAACTGCTCTGCAGAGTGAGAGGTGGGCTGGTGAACAGGTACACAGTGGCCTTGAAGATAAGAAGGGGGTGTTTTTTGTATCTGGACTTTCCTCATGCAAATAAGGCATTTGGGACAGTTGTTCTATCAAAAACCCTCCTGGTTTGGTGCCATATTTAAACTGTCCTATGGAAGACTTGCTTGGTTTTGTTCCAGATGTAAACCAATAATTGAAAATGGCGCTTTTTGGATTGGTCCCACATACATGGTTCAGGAACTGTAGTTACCCCAGATCCTGTGTTTTACACATGTGCTGTGGGTGTAATGATTTTGACAGATTACGAACGCTTGCTTGACTGGATTTGCCCAAGATCTAATCAACTATCTTCTTGTAAGCACTGTCCCTTCCCAGATTACAGTTACTTTTTCCTTCTGTTCTAGCCATGTACCATGTAATTCTTCATTGGTTTTCTCCTTCTAGGTCTACAGTGGCCAAGATTTCATTCTGAGTCCTAAATTTGCTATTGGTCCTCTTTGTGTTTTGAGACAGTATCTTACCATGTAGTTCAGACTGACCTTGAACTCACTATGTAGCCAGGCTGTACTTGAACTTGGGGTGAGCCTCCTGCCTCAGGCTCCCTCATGCTGGGATTATAGATGTGTGCCAGCATGCCTGGCTCCTTTGGTCCTTTTTGAATGCTGAGGGTTGTGAGGGAAGCAGTATGTTCTTTTTTTTTTTTTTTTTGTCTTTTTCTTTATTGGTACCGGGGATGGAACTCACGACTGCCTGCTTGCAAGGCAGGCGCTTATGCTGCTGAGCTAAATCCCCAGCCCCAGCAGTATGTTCTTTTTGGCATTGACTTTCCATGTTTGCCTGCTACCGCTAGTAGATGCTGGTAGAAGACACCAAATTCCTGAGTCAGAGATGAACGATTGTTTAAACTCGTAACAAGAGCAGTGAACAGGATATCATTTTTGTGGTTAGTTTGTTTTACCCCAATTCCCACAAAGCCAGGCAAAGAGAGCTAGATAGCTTTGAATATGCAGTATATTGCTTTGTAGTTAGAGGTAACCTGAGTTCAGGAAGCACAAATCCTTTCGGTCTGGACATGTACCTTTTGCTGCAGAGGGAGACAGTTCTCTTTAACACAGGACACAGTAAGCATGCATGCATTCACTGTAAGGATGACCCTATGTCTGTCATTGTATGAGTACCTTCACCAAGAATAAAGAGTAATTAGGTGTAGTGCCTTCCTGTCCTGACATAGGTCCTTTACCAGGAGGGATCCATGGAGAAGGGTCACCTCTCACTGCTCTTTGCTGCATTTCTCTACTTGGGCTTGCTCAGGTGAGTGTGAACTCCATGGCCCAGGGAGGAGGAAATTAAAGAGTGCAATCCAACCACCCCTGCAGATTTTTACTAGGATAGCACCGACCACAAAGACACATGCGTACTTTTCCGAGAACTGCAGCAACCGCCGGGACTGATGGTGTTCCTGTGACTCACAACTCCACCTCTAAATGTATCCTTATTCCTTCCTGCGCGCCCATTCCCTCCACTGTGGTTTTCAGGCATGTAAGCCCATGTCTTCTTACCCTCGGGGTCGCTCTCTGTCTGCTAGCGACTTGTCCCTGTGCCAAATAAACTTCTTTGTGGCAGAGTGTCTCCATCATCCTTGCGTGGGTTATGGTCTCATTTACCTTTCAGAGTGGACCTACCAGTGAATCTAGGGAAATACACTTGGCAGTTCCTAGGCTGCAGTGTAAGGGAGACAATTGGATCAGGCACAGGGTGTGAAGAAGGTTGAAGAAAGTTTCAGGGAGATGGAAATACTTGGACAGATGTCTGAATGCTGATGGGAAACTAAGTTGAGAAGAGAATCCCTGCTGAAAATAGCCACTTGGGACAGAAGGGAGTCTGTGTGAGCATGGAGCACCTAACAGGGCTCAAGGGAGTTGGGGGAGTGAGCCCCAGCACGCAGGGGCCCAGTACTGATGTTGAAAAGCTTTGTCTTTAATCCAAGCAATCGGAAGCCACCCAAGCTTAAAGCAGGGGGATAATGTCTTGTTCGAAAAAGTAAAAGCAAAAATTCTTGAGGGGAAGGGACAAAAAAATATATTCCTGATGTTTTGTTCCCAGGGTCCTATTTAAAAATAGTAGATGCCAGGTGTGGTGGGCATGCCTGTAATCCCAGCACCTAGGAAGCTGAGGCAGGAGAATCACTGTGAGTTTGAGGCCAGTTGAGGGTACATTGAAAGGATTTTGCCCTAGATACGATATTAGGGCAGCAGGAGGTGGGACCTGGGGATGTTTACTTGAGATCACTTTCCCCTCCTGTATGACAATTTACCTGTGGTGCGAAAAGAGTCCCAATCAGCTTCCCACACATCAGCAATACCACCTTAAGCACGACCCCAGTCAGAAACTATAGGTATGCCCCACACACCAAGTTTCCAGCAGAGAAAGCCACGCCCCAGCGGTGATGGACTTCTCTGTGAGTCCTTAGAACAGAGACTATTTTTATTTTATATTCTCTCTTTTACCATGCCAAAAATCCTATCATACATAATGAGCCCTTGTATCACAATAAAAAGAAAGAAAGAAAGGAAGGATAGGATGATCGGTACCATAGGATAGGATGATCGGTACAGATATCATAGCCTTTGGCTTTGTGTGGTAGCTCTTACTAGTCACTTTGGGATTTGGTTTTTTTCTCAAGGGGCCTCCCCGGCTGGGCCCAGAGGTTCCACCAGAGGCCTGCTGGGGAGGGAGGGTTTCTGGTGCTGGTTGGCCGTCAGCATGATGCACAGGAACCAGTGGCCTGGAACTGTTGGGCGCAAGTGGTGCAGGGTTGGTCAGAAGTAAGTGGCTCAAGATTGGGTGTTTGGTGATATTACGTTAATGAAGCTGCCAGTGTAAAGTAAATTTTCCAAAAGGCAAGAACTTGAAAGTGGTTTTTTTGTAGGTCTGGTAAGGGAAAGGCATTCTGGAGGAAGCTAGGATTGTGAATTTATGTGAGCCGATGTCCCACAGGTAGGGGACCATCACTGGATCATTCCTATAGTATGTTACTAGAGAAGCTTCTCTGACTGTGTAGAGCACCAGAAACCATGAGGAGGAGGTGTAGTGTTCTTTCCTGAGCATAAAGCCAGCTCTTGGTGTTGCTTCAGTGCAACTGCCGCTTGCCATTGATGATTGTTCTTGCTGTCTCCTTGGAGTTAGCAAGAGGGGAGGACGCAGTTTGAGTGGTTTCTGTTTCATGGTAGTTTCAAGAAATTAGACCTTAGGTAGAATAGCTAGGTGTTAGTAGTGAGGTGCAAGTGAAGGGCTATTTGAGTTATGCGTGAAGAATTGTCTACGGTTCTTGTTTTGTATGTAACTTAAGGGGTTGTTAGAGATGTATGGTTCACTAGCATAGAAAGGGTTGTGGGGTTCCTGTTACCACAAAACATCATAGGCGAGTTACCTTTATGTTATGAAAGGAAGAATGCTGCAGTGTGGTTAAATGTCTTTTTTTTTTCTGTTTATGAAGAACGTGGCCTCTTCCCAGCACCTTAATAAATATGATTTAGGTTTATGTTTCTTTATTTTTTTTGGAGGGGTGGGAATAGGCATTGAACTTTGTCACTTACTACTTTACAATTCATTGCTCAGGGCACAGGAGCCTGGATTTCATTTCTTCCCATTATGTGGTAACAGGCGGATACTGTTGAGAGCGCTGAAGGTATAGCCCTCCAAAGAACAAAGGGCTCCTGAAGAGGTGGGGCAACTATGTGAACAAGGTGCTTCAGCCCAAAAAACACCAAGCCTCAAGACAATCCAAACAGTGGGTTGCTAAGAGAACAGGGTGTCATATGGACATTAAGTTGCTAAAAAGGTAAAAATAAAAGGCCCTGCAGTGAAGGGGCCTTTGCTTTTGTCTCTTCTTTATTTTTTCTTATCCTCTTGTAGTCTTTCACCCTAAGAACCTCAAGAGCCTTGCGGGTTGCAGCAGGATACAAAAACCTGTAAGAGGGGCTGGCTCTATAACTCACTGGTAGAGCTTTTGCTTAAGGTAAGCAGTGTCCTGCACTCAGTCCATCACAGTACCTCAAAAGAAAACAAAGCAAACCTAAAACCTGATAACAGAATTGCTCTGAAGCAAGAAAACTAGGCATCTGGTTTTGGAGGCCTTTAAAATGTTTTTTGTCATTTGTTTTCCTCTTTTGCCTCATATTTATGTATTTTTTGTTCATTTTGGCTTTTGGAACAGTGTCTTACTGTGTCACCCACACTGATGTCACACTTGCTGTGGTAGCTGAGGCTGATCTCAAAATTGTCATCATTCTGCCCCAGCATCCTGAGGGCAGGGATTGCAGATAGGAGTTCTGTGCCTTACGGTACATTTCTTTTTCAATCAAAGAAAGGAAACTCCTCAGCTGATTCTGATGTGCAACCAGTTAAGGAAACTATGGCTGCACACACCCCCCTGCTTATATCTGCACACAGTGAGTGTGTCCTTTCATGCTGCACACAATAGTGTATAATGGTATAATAGTCACTTTTCTGTTGCTGGTACAAAATGTTCAACTACTACAATTTTAAGGAGGAGAGGTTTATTTGGCTCACAGTTTCCACTGCATACAGTCCACGGTTGGCTGGCTCCAAAGCATAAACTCCTGGCAGAAGGGTATGGCAGAGGAAAGGTGGTCAACCCACAGTAGCCAGGAAGCAGAGAAGGGAGGAGCTGAGGAGGCAAATAGACCTGTATTTATTACAAATAGGTGCTCAGTGTTTGTTGAATTATTGGATGCATCTAAGTGGAGGGACAGTTTAAAATTGTATATAGAGCAGGGTTTACCACTCTATTTGTTCCAGATTAGTGAAAGCTAAGGGGTTTATACTTTCTGTTTTCAGTACCACAGACTTGAGGAAAGCTGACAGGATCCAAGATACTGGTCAGTGCTGGAGTGACATCTGTTGTTGAAAAGAAGGCATAACAATTTCTTTTGCTTTTGCTCTCATAGGAGTTTGGTTCCTAGCATAAAATGGGATTTTAGAGATCACACACACACACACACACACACACACACACACACACACACACGCACCCAGTACTGAGGCTCAACCCTGGGCTCTGTCCATGCTAAGCAAGGACTCTGGCCCCGAGGTACACCCTTAGCCTATTCTTACCCTTTTATAGATGAGGAAGCAGGCCTAGAGGGCTGAGAAGTTACTTACTTCTGCCTACCTGGTTAGAGGCATAGGTGGGGCTCGAGCTAGGTGGGAAAAGTTCCCTCTGGGCTTCAGGAACAGGGTGGATTTGAGGTTGTGTGTGAGAAGAGGATCTCTGGGAGGCTACAGAGTGGAGCCAAGAGGCCAGAGTGATAAGGCCAGAAGTGAACTGCATCAAGGAGCTGAGCTGAGGCCAGCAGCTGGTCAGTTGAGGGGACAGAAGGGAACCAGGATTGATGGGAGCCACACAGGTATGGCAAGAAGGTGCAAGTCCTCATTTGGGCTCATTGACTCAGGATGGAACTTGAGGCAGAAATGTCAGTCGGCAAGCATTTTCAGCCCTGACACTACTCTTCCTTGAAAGCTGATGACATCAGTTGATTATCCAAGAATCCAAACCAGCTTTCAAAGTTGCATTGATTTTTGTTAACAGTCTACTTAGGCACGTGAGTTTATTGAATGTCGTTGTTAAGAGTAGCATTCCATATCTTGGTGTAAAAATGCTGGAGCAAGTTTTCCTCTTCTGCTCCTTCATGGAGTCTTCAGACCTGGACTTGATCTTGCAAGTGGTGTCCTCTAGCTTCAGGCAAGTGTAATTTTTAATGATGGCAGAGTTGAAGGCCAGAAAGATGAATATCACTTAGTGACAGCCAGAAAAGAAGTCCCCTACCCTCAGCTGGGTTTAACAGAAAGAAGGAAGGATTGTAAGAGTTGAAGGTGACAGGAAATGAAGGAAAGGATTTCAATTCTGAGAAACATCATGTATTTAGGGAAGTTGCTTGAAGTCTGAGAAGCACATCCTGTCCTGCAACACTTCATTACCATTTCTGGGGACTGGAAATGTAGCTCTGTGATAGAGCACTTACTTACCTGTGTGGAACAGCTGAGCTGTGGCTGAGGTGGAGGTCAGTGAACTCCTGGAGACTAGAGCAAAGCTGGTCCCAGGAACATGGAATGCCAGAAGCATTCCCCCCACGTGTGAACAAGTTGACCTCTAGCTTAGCTGCGTATCAGCAGGTGTCCAGCCTTGCTGTCCCTTCCTGTTAATTATAGCACAGATGACTCTGAAAATATTTCCTTTTTTGTGTTCTTACCAGGACCTTGCATTTTCCATCCTGTCACATGTTTCCCTTTTTACTGTGTATAAATGAGGATGCTGGTATGGCATTGCTACTTCTCCATTGGAGGGCCATGTCTCGGCCAGTCCCAGCTTTCCAGTGTGTTTTGTCTTCTGTTAATCTTGTGCTGTTCTGTCAGTGCCCGAATTGTTTGCACAGGATGTGGCACTTAACATTTATAAGGCTCTAGGTTGAAACCCAGCAGTACAAGCAAAGCAATCGTTATATTTTCTTGAAACTAATATGATTTGTATTGGTTTAATGTATAGTTATAAAAAGAACATATAAATACAGTAAATATCAACATTAAATAATACTTGCATGTAGATCCCTTCTGTTTGCAGTGCACAAGGTCACATCTTAACTATTTGGCAATAGAAATGAAACTTTAGTAACAGGTTCCTGGCCTCTTCTGTGTGTGGTACTGGAGACTGAAACCAACACCTCACTGAGCTGCATCCCTGGCTCTTTTTATTTTAATTTTTAAAAATTTGAAACATTTCACCCAGACTCTGTTTTGCTGAGGTTGGCCTTGAGCATGGTATCCTCTTGCTGTAGCCTCCACGAGTGGTGAGGTTATAGATATGCACCATTGTACCTTCACTACTTCATGGCTTCTAAATCTCCTTGCTGTCTGTCAAAAGCTATAGAAAAGAGGAATTATTCAGGGAAATTTGTTCAAAGTCTGAGAAATCCATCCTGACCTCTAAAATACATTCTTATGCCAGGCCATCAAATGCCTTGCTGTTAAGTAGTTCCCTTGCTTTTTGAACACTTATTTGTTTATTCTTATTATGGAGATTGAACTCAGCTCTGGGCTCTATCTACAACCTTTATTATTCTTACTATGATTTTTGCTGTGTGTGCGATAGGGTCTTGCTAAGTTGTCCAGATGAACCCCTCTTGTCTCATCATTCCTAGTACCTTGAATGACATGTGGGCACCACTACTCTGGGCCTATGATCTGTTTGATTCTCATGAAAGTTGTGTGCAGATGTTAACACTGACCTGATCTGACCTGACCTGAGGACTCTTATTGGTCTAGGGGACTTTGAGGATGTATTGACTTAGCTTCTAGGGAATCTGGAAAGATGAATTATTCAGGCAGTCAGTGAACCTTTGGGTGCTAAACTGAGAGGATCCATTTCCAGAAGGGCAAGGGGTTGGAGGAGGCCCAGGTGGTTTTGATTCAGAAAATGGAACTTGAGGGAGGTTTGGAGAGAGTCTTACATTGACTGATTCAACAGTAAGCATTGAGGTCCTGTGTCCCAGCCTGTTGGTAAGTCCACGGAAACTCTAGAGGGGGAGTGGGGATGAAAGGGGACAAGAGATACAAAGAATAGAGACAAGACAGAAGTCCAATCAAGTCTCATTTATTCAAGGAAAAAGTAACAAATATATAGGGTATTGGGCAGTTGGGTTTGAGACGTCAGCTGGTAACTTAGCAACAGTGGCAAGACTGAGGATTATAGGTTAAATCAAATTTTCAAATTTCCCATGCAAGCATAATCCCTGAATATGCTAAACAAGCTAGGCAAGGTGCTGCTTACTACTAGAGGGAGTAGCTTACTACTAGAGGGGCTTAACTCCTAGAGGGAGTTAAGTTGGTGCGGCCTACAGATATAAGGTGGCAGCCAATTACAGGGCTTCCCACAGTCCTGGTGTAAACTTGGGAATACAGTGGTACAATAGATAAGGTGCCTGTTCTCAGAGAACTGACTGCCTTCAAAGGGAGACAGTTAATACACCAGGTGAATAAAGGAAATTCACATGGAAAATAAGAGTTCTGAAGCCCCTAATACAGGGTTCCTTTAGAGTAGGTGGTCAAGGAAAGCTTCCCTAAAAAGTGACACAAGAAGTTGTGCTAGGATCCATGGGCAGAGAATGGCAGCAGAAGAAGCTGCTGGTGCAGAGATTT